CAGCAGCAGAGTTAGGGGTGCATCGAGCTTGGCATTTTGCAGCAGGACGAAGCTTCTGATACAATCTGTGAGAATGCTTTTAAAATATAATGTCATTTACTCTGCCAGGGATGTACTTCACAACATGCACCTATTCGGTCAGGGTCAAAGACAGAACGGGAACCAGGACGCAGAAACGAGGCGTTCCTGCAACGCCTGATCCATTGAGGGCAGGGAATGCTTTTCCCCGCTAGACTTACACTCAAGAGTGCGTGGGTGGTGGCATGCTTTTGCCAAAACACCCAGCAAAGGGATGGCTAACGCTGTCGCAACACAAACTCTTAAACTTCAGCATCTGCACGTCCTTGAGACGCCCCGGACAGTTCACAGCCCGACAGCGCTCGCTGGCGCTGCAGAGCCGTCGCCCCACCTCTGGTTTTTCACACCAGCAATGCAATCCCGTCACGTATCGGGGACTGCCAGAGTCACAGCGCAAGGGAAACCTCTGCAGACACTTGCTCACATCAACCTGTTCCACATGCTGATACTAAGCTAGCTTTATCATTTTAACAGAAGTCACAAAGCTGGAGTTACCAGCAAGCAGCAACGTACCTGTTTTTTCTTCTCCTTCTGCTCTAAAACTTTCTGCAGGTTTTTCTTCTGTTTCTTGCTTAGGGGTTTCTTCTGTTGTTGCACAACACGGGCTACTTTTTTCTTCTTTGCTTTTTTTGCTGGCAGGACCAGGGCATTACTTCCACCAATTCCCTTCAGCGTTGCTTCATCTGAAAGAGTTTGTTTGATTATTCACCTGTGCCAGGCGGATTATTTTCAGCACACGGCTTAACAGCCTTATCGCAAACCATACTAGATTTAGCCGTTTTAGACAAACACAACCCCCCCGCCAAAAAAAAATCCCACATCATCAGCAAGAGCAAAAGACCATGAACCCGGGCACTCGATATCCCTGTGCTTATTATAGCCGCGAGGGCAACCTTCCCTGACTTATGTAAAAAAGCCATGAAATTTTTGCTTTTTTTTAATTTAATTCCCCCAGGGTCGGGGGGCAGCGGAGCAGGCCAGGACACAGCCTGCCTCGGGGGGGACCCCGCAGCCTCCTGCCTCTCCCAGACTAAAGTAGTTTTTAATACTAAAAATCCATTTCTCTAAAGTTTGAATAATAAAAATAGTATAATAAACGTCTTTTTTTAAAAGTAACATTTGAGAATGCAAATGTTAAACATCTTTTTAATAATTGCTTTAATAAAGCATTGCTTAACTGCAGCAATTGCTTTAACGGAGCTATTAACGCAAAGCCGGCAAGATACTTTTAAATAGCAATTTCAACGCTTCCAATGAAAGTACAAGAGGAACAGAGCGAAGACACGACAACAACTCTAATCGCAGCAACCCTACGGTCACTTTAGCAACGTTAACCACCCAAGTTCGCCATAACGAACATAACGCCCAGGGAGAGGAGAACCGGGCCGGGGCCCGCCGCACCTCCCAG